GGGGGGGGGGGGGAGCAGGGCAGAGAGTAGAGCACAGACACAGGGGGTGAAGGGGGAGTCCTCTTACGTTTCACGAAACACGCGCGCGCGCATGACTCATGCTTTCATGAATGGAAGGTTCTCTTCTGGTCTCCTGGCTCGCTCGCTCGCTCGTTCGTCCGCCCGCCCGCCGGCGAGAGCGGCCGCGCTCTGGTTCAATGGTCCACCGGAAACGCCTGGTTACACCCTGTTTCCGTTTCAACCGAACTTGCCGCGTAACGGAACAAACGGTGCGGCCGGAAGGAGCAGCAGAAGAAGAACGGGCCGGCAGGAAATCTGCCGGCGCACCGGCAATTGTGGAAATCACAGCCGCTTAACGACGATGACGAGCGCGTCGATAATCCGCGACACCGAGAGGATTGCCGGATGTGTCAAGGATATCAGCGACGCAATCACAATCGACGACGACGGTGCGCCGCTCCAGGTCGAAGGTGTCTTTCGCCAGAGTCCGATCAAGCTGATCGGCGATTCAAAATTGGTGTTACCTGCTTCTTTATCTTGCTAATGTAGAGAGAGAGAGAGAGAGAGAGAGAGAGAGATTGTGAAGTTTTCAGTTATTCCTGAACGACAAGTTGAACAGAAGCGGTGATTGGTGCTAGTAATGTTTATTGCTATTTATCAATTAGCTTAATCAGAGTTAGTTGACAGTCATTCTAAGATTCTTAGTTAATCGATGAATAATGATAAGAACCGCCGACATCAATTTCCAGTTCTGTAACTTGTCGTTCGACGATGATCGACAAGTTAAGACTCGGCTCTCTCGGGCAGTCATATTGCTTTCCTGACGTCACAGGCAAGGAATATCATGTAATCAGTTTTTTTGCATTACACAGCTTTGCTTTTCCTTAAAAAACATAATATTTTCGTAATCCTGAAACCTGTAAGATATGCGACAAACTGAGATGTCTGTTCGATATGTCGCATAGAATTGCGAAATAATTTCTGAAATAACGAATCATTTTTCAGCCATCTCAGCTGTCACAGCCGCCTGACAGTGGCTGAAAAATGACTCGTTATTTCAGGAATTATTTTGCGATTCTACATGTCATATCGGAGAGACAGCTCAGTTTGCCGCATATTTTGCAGGATTATGAAACTATTATATTTTTCAAGGGAAATTAAAAAATAAATTATATAGAGCTTTATTTTTATATTCTATATTATAATATAGAAAGTGTACTGTATGTCATTTCTCATCTATGACATCATAAAACCAATATGGCCGTTCGAGAAAATCGAGCCTTAACAATCTCTATCTGTGCGTTAGCAAGGTGATGTTTGATTAAGAGACCAACAACGGTTTTAAATCGTCGATTAGATTAATCAAAATTCGATGAAAAACCCTAAGGCTCAGTTACACCAAACTCCGACTAAGCTAAGCGACGATCAACTTACAGGGTTGCAACTGAAATTTTTAACTCCTCTCTCTCTCTCTCTCTCTCTCAATTTCGTCTGCAACAGAAATTTCAGTTGGTGACCCAGTAAGTTAATCGCCGCTTAGCTTAATCGGAGTTTGATGTAACCTGGCCTAAGAGGATCAGGAGATCCTCGTACGTCGGATATCAAGTTTCAAAAGAAGAAACGGACAGGAGTCTCTCTCGTCGTCTCAAGGACCCAAAGTGGATCGAAATATACGAAATATACGACGGGTGTTTCTTCATGAGGGTCGTTGCGAATAATTATATTTATTCATAATCTAATTATATTAACTGTCTGGAATTACTGGATGCGAATAAGACTCAATGTCTCCTCTAGGACATTGAGACAGTATTCTGCTTATTATATCGGTTTACATCAGATATTATCTCTCATTTACTGATATATTGCGTATCACAACTAATCGCTCTTTAATTCTGTTGATTTTTTTCTTCATACACCACTTACTTCAATTTTACGTGCAGTCAAATAGTACTTGTGTCTATTTCTAGTCACATACTATTCATGAATCATCTATTCTATATTGAGAAAGAAATACTTAAAAATTTATTTGTAGGATATAAGGTTTATACTTTACCGAAATAAACCTTATTTCTGCGAAACGAACCTTATTTCTGTGAAATAAACTTTATATTTCACAAATAAATTTTTAATTATTCTTTTCTCAGTGTAATTTATTGTACCTGTCTATCTATCCTGCGACTATATAATTATTATTCTTTTATATACTCAAGAGGCTTTCCGTTAATAAAGATTATTATTATTATCTACAAGCACTCGTCGAGCGCTTACGGCTATAGTCACACTGAGAAAAAGCACACAGAGAGAAACATTTAAAAATTTATTTGTAGAATACAAGGTTTGTTTCATTGAAATAGTTTTTTTTTAAGAATTTACACGCCGCCATAATGATAAAAATTTATGAGAGAGCTTTACAAGTAAATTTTTAAGTACGTTTTTCTCGGTATGGTCGACGGGACTCGCCACTCACCGATGAAATCGAACGCCTCCTCGAAGTACTGCTTCAGGTTCTGGTGACTGGAGTCCGAGGCCGGTATCTGTCTGTAGGTGATACCCCGCTCCTCGTGGTAGCCGGGCAGCTGCGAGGTGACGTTCAGTACCCGGGTGGCGCCGAGCGCGCGTAATAGCTGCAGATCGGCGGCATCCCTGCCGTTACCGAGGTAGAGGAAAGGCAGCACACGAGACGCCGGGTGACTGTCGATGTCGGCGGGCTGCGGCGTGGGTAAGACGGAGACGCTCAACACCGGACAACCGAGTCCGGCATTCGTGCAGCCGCTCACCGTCGTCGCCGAGGGATCGGCGCCGCCACCGTTGCCGCCGCCGCTCGGCAAAAGCGTGTCCTCGCATAGTTCCCGATGTCGCCTGTGGAACTCGCGGTGTCCACCTGAAAACGAGCGAATCCTTACTGACTTGTAACATGATGAATTTTTTTTTTCACAAAGTATCATTCACAAAGTATCATCTATTTATATAGCAATTAATATCCAGAATTAACAGTAATTTATATAATTTAGAGTTCCGGTTTTTTCTCCCAGCAGCTACCTTGATTAATGACGTCAGGAGCGAAGAAACATCGGAAATTACTTATGGAATACGATTGAAGTAAACAAATGTGTCCATAAAATGACACGCATGTGATCGATTCCAGCACGTTTATAAAATATTCCGGAAACTTTCCTTATTCTTTAATAATTTCAACAGATGGTCGTAAAATTAACGTGACAAATAAGAGAAAAAATAGAAGGTTGCATGTATTGTGAATTTTAGGGTTATTTATCGGTTGTTGGGGCAAAAGAAAAATTTCCGGATCATTTGAAAAATGTGCCCCATCGATCACAAGAGTGATTTTAGGAACGTATCTTTTTATTTCGCAAGAATTTTTGGCACGCGTTTTTCCGCTTCTGACGTCATCTACAACAAGACAACTGCAGCGAGAGACCAGGAGCCTTAATATCCAAAAATTAAGGAGAAACAAATGAATAGTAAATCTATAAATTAAATAGCAATTTATATTAATACGTAACTACTAATAGAATTTAATTTTAATTGTAATTTCGTCATCGATCTTCCTTCAAATAATCATCAATCACTTTATTCGTAATCAACATATCCAGATAAAATAAAAAGAAGTCCACGATTATGAGGAAAGATCAATAAAGGTGAGCCATATAATTGTTTCACTCTAAGCGATGATAATAATATATCGTACGCACGGGACCGATTTATCGTCACAAACTTGTGAGCAAATTCACGAGGACAATTTCTCGCTAGGAAACCGATTTTCCCCATTCGTAAATCGCACGGAAGTCAACGAAGCCACGTGCATAGCAGACTCCATTAATGCTGTCTCATTCCCTAGGCACAGTAACATTGAAAATTTTTAATTAGGTGTGTTATTTTTGAATATTTATGCCGCTTTGGAGAATCTTTGTCTACTCGTTAAATTATCGACAGTCATGAGTAATGCTTCCTGATTTGAAATTTTCGACGTCATTACACCCATGGAATGGGACCACATTAACGGAGAGTATCCTGTACTTCCTCTCAAACACATGGCGGCGTATGCACGACGTTCAGTGTATCGTTGGACAATGATTACGTAGTCGGTCGCGCTTATATATCTGCCCGAGTCGCGCTCGAAGGCACTCTTTTCCCGTTCAGACAACTTATTGATTAACTCAGGTGTATATACGCGTCCCGTGTGTTCCAAAATAATTACAACTGACACGACAACCTCGTTCTCCGTCGTATTTGCGGACTCCTTGTGGACTGTAGATTACAGCCACGCATCATCATTTATATATAACTTTCGCACGAGGATGCGGAATTCGAGACTCGAGAAAGGCGAGATGCCACGGGGAGGTGAAACGCGGCTCTTCGTTATTTATCCGAGGTTCGAAAGATCTTATCTTTCGGCGCGATCTGGAGATACGAAGTCTCGACGAAAATCCAAAAATCGGTAGCGGGAGCAACCTATCGAGGATTCGAGGAGCCACTCGCAGGTTTAAAAGGATCCTGAAGTCGTTTTACTAAGAAAATTCTTTAATACTATATTCATCACTGGTGGCATAGAATAACAAATCCTTCTGTAAAATACACGTGTTAATGCAGCGGAGGATTTTATTCGAAAAACGAAAAAAATTAACAAATTATAAAATCCTTTTTCGTTTTTCGAATAAAGCCAACCGTCCTCGCCTGCATTAGCGTGTATATTGTAATTTTGCGAAAGGATTTTTAATTCTGCGTAGCCAGTAACGAATATAGTAACGAATTTTCAGTAAAACAGGACGACTCCAGGATCCTCTTAAAAGATACGAAGATCTCGATAGCCGATAGTTCGAAAACTCGAACTATCGAAGCGACACATCAGGAAAATCGGCGAGATCCCATGGATTCGCATGGGATCTCGTGATCTCATGCAATGTGAGCGTCACAGGAGCGATACTCGACAACAAGGATCAAAGGCAGGGTTGATGCCGTCATCGTCTGGAGCAGATGCGGCCGAGGACGGGATAACGCGGCGGCGAAAAACTGGTGGAAAGGAAGAAACGAGACGAGAATAAACGGCGAGGGATAAAAATAAAGGAAGCGCGAGCGCACGCGAAGGAGAGAGAAGGCAAGGAAGAAATGTGGGCTAAAATTGTCTTCCTCTCCTGACCTGCGGCCGCTAAGGCCTGGCCTGGCTCAACGGATGACTCACTCGTTATCCCCCCTCACCCACCCGCTCTCTCGCTCTCCCTCCCGAACGCTTGGCTCGCGCAGAGCGCGGCCACCAACCCCAAACTGTCGTCGCCAATCATTATTCCAATGTTGGCAAGGCTCCTTTCCGATTTCACGACTTTAGAGACCGAGACGGCGACGACGACGACGACGATGACGCGTCCTGACGAGGAACAATACTCGCGAAAATAAAACCCGCTTCCGTGGGACATGCTCTTGTTTTTTTTCCTCAATGCTATAGCAAAGTCTATAGTTCGAAAATTTCGAAAAAAAATCGTTTTTTCCCAATCAAAAAATTAGTCTTAATTATATATACTCAAATATATAAGCAAAAATATATTATATCTAATTTTAAGAAGATTTCCAGTTTTGGTTTGTATCGATACAAGCATTACTTGCACTCAATTCAAAACTAAAAATCTCCTAAGAATATTATAATATTCTTGTTTATATATGCATATTTTTATTATTGATTTAAGACTATTTTTTTTTTCAAATGGGTTTCTTTGGGTTTTGTCTCAAGGGTGCAAAAATTCGTTTAGAAAAATTTACGCGTGTTTGGTGGCAGAACCTGCCACATTTACTTTATTCCGTAATGAAGGTTTTCTGTAAGAAATCGAAAAATCAGCGGCAAAAATTGGGAAAAAAACATTTTCTTTTTGCCGAAACTTGAAAACTATAACAAAGTCGAAGCGTGACACGTTAGCGAATGTTTCTTCGCGATTCGATCTCGCGACTTCAAATCGAGATCACGATGGCCTATGTGCGATATCGATAGCGGAACGCGCGCGCGCGTTCTGAAATAACCATCTGAAAAACTGAACTTATAGTTTCCATACGCTCGAGACTTTAGACCGACCACCCCGATATTATGTATCATTGATGTCGCGATATTCTTGGTATTTCGCAATTTCCCGTCCCCTGTCAGAGCCGCGCATTGATGATTTTCACAGGTCCGGAGATACTTCGATATGCTACAAAGTGAACCATAGTTTCGTTCCTCGTGTATTATATACTCTAGATTCTCTATCTCCTATCCTATCTCTCTCCATCCTCGACAGTTGCTTCACCACAAATGTGGGAATTAGAAACTCGCGACAAACACTTCGAGGGAAGGAGACTTATACACCTGGTGTGAGTTTGTGGATTCTACACATTTCTTAGAAATAATTTTCTCAACTCATTACTTACATTTCTCAAATAAACGCAAGGTGAATACTTTTTATTAATTGAATTACTTTAATCACTTTAATGTTGAACACATTCAACGCACGATACATAATGAGTAAAGTTTAACTGTCGTCGCAGGGACAGAAATGAAATTCTCGAATTTCTTCAAAGAAAGGACAAGCGGTTATTAAGATGGAAACTTGGCGAGTCGGGGGTAAAGTCGAGTCGTTTCAGAAATAAGAATGTCGAAGACTCCGGAACAACGTTGCGAGAGTCGCATGTTCGTCACGGAAAAGTCTAAATGTGGGTCACACTATTTGGGTCGGTATAGCGATTGAGACGATGTGTACGCGGCGATCGCGTAAAGGTCGTCGTACCCGATGAAAATCCTGTTACTCCAAGCCCCACGTCCCTAAGCAAGGATTCCAAGTAAAGAATACGCGGAATTCAGAGTATTTACAGTCGCGAAACGCAAGCTCTTGCTTGTAGCTTGCGTGTATACGTAAGAATCCTTATTATATTTAGAATTAGATCGAAGAAGATGGATATCGTCCAGCTATGAATTTCACACGCGAGAGATTTCCATGAAAAGGAACGGGGTTTCTGCGAGGACGATTTTTACACGACATCGCACAGACTTGTCATCCAACTTCCCGTGAGGAAAACCGACCTCCAATTTGCCAAAGATAACGAGCCGTCGAGAGGAAGAACAGTAGTTCCGCATAGTCTTACGTGCGCAAGGAGCTCTTCGAAGGGACGAAGGATTACAGCAGAAGACAGGCGGCCAAATAGAACAGAAAATAACGATGGCGTCAAAATGAAAATTATCGGAGAGTGAGTTCTTATAATCGTTCTCTCGTCATTTTGACGTCATCGTGATTTCCTGGATATAAGTCAAATTTTACGAGTAGGTCCTTTCAAGGGGCCAACTAATTGCCCCGACCTGTACTTTTCAAAATTTCCAAACGCATAGCATTCCAGGGCCTATTTTATCACACAGCGGGGAAACTGGATAAAATATCTTCTCAGACATACAATTCAAATGTAATTTATAATTTTTAAACGCGAGAGAAACGCGTAAACATTCATGGGAACATCAATGGGAGGCGGGATACAAATTTTGCGGAGAAAGAAATTAGACGAGCGTTATGCAAGAGGCCGATTTTTGTCGGTCATTAAACCTTGGACATCCTACATCACATCGGTCCCTACGAGAGGCCGGCTGAAACTTTTACCTCGCGACCAAACACAAAATACCACCCACATTCTTCCAGAGGTCAAACCTGACGTCATCGTTGCGCGATGATTCAGGAGTACGATGCCGAAATAGTAATCAGTTAACAACATTCGGAGCAACAAGTGACAAAACAACAAACGGAGGAACGCGAGATACGGCGATTTACGGAGTGTTGACAAATCAATAACGATGAGTCAAACCTCACAGATCACTCGCCGATGACTCATTTCGTCTCTTTATTTTCATTTACACCGATT